CTTGTCACCTCTGGGTGAGGCGACTGGAGTGTGGCATGGTGCAGACCACAGCTCTCCAGGAGCTCAGCCACAGCTTTTTACCTGAGGGAAGGACAGACTGTCTGCGGCTCAGGGCAGCAGGATGCAAATTCTCCCTGTCTATCCCTGACCCGAGGCCCAGAAGTCTGGTGGTCTGGGTGGAGGGAGAAGGTGCATGGTGGCAGTGGGAAGAGCCCTTCCCCAGGACTTAAAAGGATTGGTCAGCTCTTAGCTGCAGACCTTTGGTCAATCCTCTCTCTCACTGTTCTGGGCTTCAGTTTTCTTGTTTGCCCCCAGGAGATGTGACAGCTGTCCTGCCCACCTAATATGGTGGGCAAGGCTCCAGTGAAGGGCAGGGCAGACTGGCGGCCCTGCCTGCTTGGGGTTGGGACAGGGAAGACATTTGGCCTGGAGACTGTCATTTGTGGGCACTGTCTCTTCAGGTGCTGGAGAGGTGGCCGTCTCTTCAGGTGCTGGAGGAAGTTGATGAACGTGGGGGTGTGAGAATGTTCAGATCCATATGTGTGTGCGGGGAGCTGGGCACAGTGACAGGTGGTGAAAGGAAGGAAGGCAGAGGTGAGCTCCTCTCTCAAGGAATTTCTACTTCGTGGTGGAAGAAAGGCTGACAGGTGCAGAATGGGATTTAGTGGCAAGGCAGAAAAGATAGAGGCAAGGTGCCTGAGGAGGCCCAACAGAATGCTGTGAGAGGGGACACAGTGAGGGGGACACTAACAGGAGAGGGCAGCGCCAGGCTTGGCCGAGAGGGAACAGAGTTCGGCCCAGGGGTTATTGTGGATATTCACAAGGAAGTGACAGGTGTGCTCAGGGCAGCCGGGGCCTTCCAGGACTGGGAGAGGGAGAAGGGGTGTGCCCAGGTCAGCAGGCAGATCTGTAGTTGGGGGAGGTTGTGGGTGGCTTGACGGGAATAAAAAGCAGGGGTGTTCTGGCCGCGTGTGGTGCCTGTGAAGGCTGCTTGCGGGGTCCCTCAACGGCTTCTGTTGTTCCTCTGGAATCTAGAAAACTCTCTCTAGAGGCCAAGTCTGAGGCTGCTTCTTGGAAAACATGTAGGGGGACCATGAACATCAGAGGAGCCCAGAGGCCAGAGCTGGGACTTTGGGTGTGAGGAGGATGCAGAGCAAGGACAGGAAGCAGAGGTGGAAGTCTAGTATAGGGAGGCTGGAGGGAACACTAACCTAAGCTGAGAGGGCAGAGTGTGGCCTTTGGGACAATGACAGTGCAACAGGGCCAGCTCTTGTCAGGCCCTATTGGCTTCAGGGTCCCCTGTCGTTCCCCCATTTGCTTAAGCTGCTTGGATGTCTACTTTGCTCTTTGTGAGTGCCAGCTCCCCACAGGCTCCACCATGGTGACACACATGTCCAAGAAAGTAGGGACAGGTGGTTCCCTTGTCTACTACCAGCACCCGGCATCATGTAGGATCTAGGTGGTGGGAAATGTGGGCCATGGAAGGAGGGGGAGGGGCATGACCACGGGCTTCCTCAACCAGAGGCAGGGTAGCTGGACCCCTGCTAGGCCCTTGCCATGGTCCTGGTGGCCCACTTGCTAGGAAGCCTCATGGGAGGCAAATGTTGAGTTGGCGAGGGGAGTCAGACCTTGTCCACTCTCTGCATATGTGTGGCAGCACAGAGTTGAGAAGAGCCCGGGAAGGAGTGAGCACACCAGTCCTGGGTCACTGAGCCGCGGAACAGCTCGCCCAGCCCCTCATCCTGATGAGGTAGAAATCAAGATCCAGGGATGCAAGGTGGCTTGTCCAAGGTCACACAATGGATGTTTGAATGTCAAAATGTCCTCAGTTGCTGACCACATGTCTTGTCCTGAGTTACAGGACAAACAGGAATCCTTTGGGGATCTCACCTCCTTGGTTTTGAGCAATGCCACCCTGTCACCTATTTAGATGGTCCCGACAGGTTCAATTAGAATGATCTTGAGCTCTCCTCTCACCCTCAGCCTGTCATTTACACGTGAGTCCCAGGGAAGGCAGGGGTCTGACTAGGACTAGAACGTGATTCTAGACTGGCTCTCTACCGTGTTTTCTCAGTGAGCTGAACACTATACCACATTGAGAACCTTTAGGTTACTTCAGTTTCGAAACCGCTTTGCCAAAGTTTCTTATAACCTCTCAGCTAACCATCTATGTTGATGCCCCCTATCCAGCTTCCACAGCCTGACCTTTCCCAGTCTCTAGAAGCCATCCCTGATGCTCCCCTCCCTTCACAGCTCCATTCCCATGGAGAGAAAACTGGACCAAGGCAGGTCCCGGGGCCTGTATTCATTGGCAGGGCCCCATGTCCTGGCCTCTCGAGTGCTGGACCAGACTGGGGCTGCACAGGTCCCCAGGCACTGCCCAGGTGCCCAGGCCCTCTGCACTGTGATGTTGAGCAAGGACTGCTGCTTCTGCTTTTGCCATCTCTCCCACTGCCTCACATCCCTCTACCTCTGGTGGCCCCCTGTCCTCTCTCTCTCATCACTCAGTTTGGTTATCTCTACAGTGACATTCCTGGGTGGCTTCTCCTGTTAACATCTCTAAAGGCTTTCCTTGGTCTACCTGCCAATGCTACAGGTTCTCTGCAGGACCGTCAAGAATCTCTACAACCTTCCCATTCCTTCCCATTTTCTCACGTTTAAAATAAAAATCTTTGCATCTCTGGTTTCCCCAGCCTGGAGCTCCCTGCTCCTTTACTCAAGGATGCGATTCTCTTTCTGTGAGGTCCAGCCCTTGTCCCACCTGGAGCCTCAGGGCCACAGACATCTCTTGCTCCTCTGCAAATGATTACCTCATTTTCTAGAGAGGAAACTGAGGCCCAGAGAGAGACATTGATTCACCCCAAAGTCCCATCATTAGCTAGAGAGAGTGGAAGAAATATTTCCTCACCCTGCAGTGAAACACCTTTTCCCCCTGCCTGCTGAAGAGGCATGCTGTCCTGGAGAACAGAGGGACCCAGGAAGGGAAAGGACCTAAGCCCACTCGGTGATCTCCTGTGCCCTCAGGGTCATAACTGAGCACTTTAATTACAAGCTGCTCCATATTGTTATTTAATCAGTTCCAAGTAAGCTGCTTGAGGACAGGGAAAATGCCCCGAGCCTGGGGATTAGGTTTTCTCAGAAGCCCCCAGCACAGGGCTAGGCACCTGGAAGGCTGTCCTAGGGCAAGACTGGTACCTTGGCAGCAGCTTCCATCTGGGAAGGTCATTTTCTTGCTTTCATTTCTGGCAGCAAATAAAGCAGCACAGGAGCCCAAGGGATTGCACCCAGATGTAAGTTTTCATGTGAATGGAAGGTGGGTCGTGTGTGTGTGTGTGTGTGTGTGTGTGTGTGTGTGTGTGTGTGTGCGCGTGCGCGCATACATGTGCACAGGAACGGTGGTTTGGGCAAAAGTCCACAGGGATTGATAAAGGGTCTTAGGACTGATGGATATCCAGACTCTTGGCCTTGCCACCTGTGACCCAGGATGACAGGCGGCCTTTGCTGGGCCCTCTCATCACTGTGATTTTTGGAGGTTGGCAGCCATCAGATCAGGAGCCCCAGCTTGGCAAAGGTGGGCAGTGTCTTGGGCATTCACAGCCTCGCTTTGTTCCTGGCCCCTGTCACTGCTCCTCCTCGTATCATCTAATCCTCTCTCTTCCCCTCTCCATTCTGCCCTTTGAAGGAAGCACCCAGGAGAGGCTCTTGGGTGTGAGCCTGTCTGAGCATCTCCATGCAGGGCTTCTGCATTGGGACGTGGCGTCTAACGGGGAGTGTCTGAGACACTGCCTCACTCTAGGAGAATCCCCTGGGGGGTGGGAACATCCTAGGCAAAGGTGCTAGTTCCTGGCCCCTGGAAGTCACAGTGCCTGAGCTGGTGAAAGGACTTCCTGACATCTTTGGTGAGATTGATTCCCAGGATGCTGGAGAAATTTGCCTTGGCCTGGAAAAGATGCAGGTTTTCTTCCTTCTCTGTATTCAAACTTCAAAGTTTGTCTTTGCTAAAGCCATTTAAAGAGATTTGCAGGTTGGCAAGGTGTAAGGGCACCTGGAGAGGGTTCATGGGTGGAAAGGTCCTCTGGGAGGCCTCTGATTGGTGGCCCCTGGTCGGCATACGTCTGAGCCGGTGCTCTTCTGGACTCCACATTCCCCTTCTCCGGGGCCTCGGGCATCTCAGTGGGTGGATGTTGGCCAGGGTCACTGGGTGAGAGGAATTGGCTGATGACATCCACCCTCCCACTCACTTTCCTGACAGCCTAGGAGATGTGCTCTTTGTACCCTCTAATGTCACTTGTGCCTTCCACACAGCCCTCCCTGTCCTAAAACTGGGAGGTGTTAGAGTGCATAGGGATTACTTTATTTCCTATGTCCCCAAGAGAAATCTAGGACTACGGGGGGCGCAGCTCACACAGCTGAGTCACCTGCAGTGGGTTGCTGTGGCGAGCTCCACAGCTCCTCCTGCTTCCTGGCCCTGGTGGCTGGAGGACTGAGGCCAAGCAGGTTGGGTTAGTCTTTAGGAGGTTCGGGAAATGGGTCCTGTCCAGTGTCTGAGGAGAGCTGTTCAGAGAGGCTGGTGGAGGGGGAGTGGCTGAGGAAGTCTGTGCCCCAGCACCCAGATGGCAGGGCAGACCAACCAATTAGCCACCAATGAAGATAGACCGGCAGGGTGGCATTCCAGGGCCCTCTTGCTCAGATCAGCCTCAATTATAGGGTACAATTACCTGCTGAGGTGTTGTGGGGTATTTGCCTGCACATGCCACACAAAGTTTCGGGGGTGCTTCTTGGTCTTTGGGACTTACTTTTGGGAGAAGACCATATCTGAGGTTAATGTCTCCTTTAGGGCCCCTCATTCTGGTTTACTCCCAAAGAACACCACTTTTTGACCCCAGTCTCCTGGGCTCATGGGTGGGGGTCAAGGTCCCGATAGCCCCACAAATGCATGAAGGTGCAGTTTTACCCACGAGTCCACCCTGGCTGTGGTGGGAAGAACGCCAAAGCCTTACCTCGAGATTTGCTTTCCTTGGGAAGAAGAGAGATGACCTCGTCCCTTTCCTGAAGATAGACTAACAACTGGTAGCGATGGAAGCCACTCTTTGCTGGTGGGGAGGGAGGCTTGTAGGCTGCAGGTGGAGAAAGGGAGAGACAAGTGAACTCACATCTCTGCTACCCAGGGCAGAGCTCCTGCTTCCAGAGGCTGCTGGCTACTCGAGAAAACAACCCCCTGTGTCTTTCCATGGCCCTGCTGACCTTCCTGGGGCCCCAGATGAAGGTTGACCTGCCGCGTGCCATTATGTTTGGCAGGACCTCCCCTTTGGTATTTTCACTTCAGATGTCCATGTTGGGGTCTGGGGTGGTGGAGGAAAGAAGGTGGTCCAGGAGGAAATGCTCCAGGTTGGAATGAAGGTCTGGGGTGCTGCTGTGGCTCCCAGGGCTCACTGGCTCAGTGGGTGCTGGTGTTGTCCTGTTTTTGCTCTAGTCTATTCAGATGGATTTCCTGCCTCAAGAGAAACTCATCTTCCCCCGTGAGTGTGTTTGGCATCGAATTTTTATTTATTTTTTTCAGCATTTCCTTATGAACTCAATC